CACGCCGTGCTGTTGTTGCAAGCGTGAAGTGCACGAAGCTGGTGTAGCCTAGCCTAGCCTAGCCTAGCCTAGCCCCGACTAGGGACGGCGCGCGGGAGCTTGCTGATTGGCTCTTCGGAAGCCCACTTTCTCCGCGGGTCACACTGATATTATACCTTCATTTTAAGGTGAGGGGCCACAAAATATTGTACTGCGGGCCGCGAGTCTGAGACCCCTGCATTAAATGTTACTCTAATACACAATGTCATTTACACACATTGAAGGAAAAAGTTTCTTCAGCACTTCGATATTAAATCACTATTTAATCATGATTAATCTTGATTAATCCAGCTCTAATTTTAATATAAAATGTGTCTGATACTTTTTTTTAGTGAGATGTAATTCAGATGGTGGCGCTGTAACTTAACTTAAAAATACACATACTGCTTTTTTAGCCTCACGAACATTCATTATGCTGCATGTTGTCCTCATAAAAACCTCCCAAAAATAAATCAATAGAATGTTTCATTGTATCATATTCTTAATCAATGTCTCAAAGAGTACTCTGTGTATTTTGATCTGTTTGCTGTACATACTCCTGTAGGTTTTTTATACTTCAAAGCCTTCCTTCACTACCTTGGCTGAATGGACGCCATCAATCTTTTCATACTGCACTCTGGGGAAAGAGAGGTTACTAAGTTTCTCCAACGTGCAGTTTTGGGCTGTTATTGTCCCCGTAGCTCACTGTCTCTGTGACTCCCAGTGGACGCAGCTCATTGATCCCTGCACATCATTACGGAGCTTATTCTAAAGCCTCCTTTACCAGAAACCTGTGTTTAAAGGCCTCGTTTAAAGAGCAAACTGAGGATTAATTGAAAAACAAAATGCAGGAATTGCAAAGTGTTGTTTGTGTATTTTACTTTTACCGTCCCCTCGATCCTGCTTTTGTGAGCGGCGAATCAAGAGCAGAATAGGAAACGGTGTTTTTTAATATATTTTGCGACCAATAAGCCGTGCATCAATCCAGTCTGAACTTAATTAGCTCTCTATATTCGGAGTCTGCAGCTCTGGACGTCATATTGTGTCCATGTCAATTGTGGGCTGTTCCATCAGAATGACAGCTATTGATCTGTTCTAACAAGATTAGACATGATTAGAAATGCATCAGTTGCACCGGGGTATTGACTTTTGCAGCTCACTGGGATTGATTATTTTTCCAGTGTTTGTTTTCGGTTACCAGTTTGGAAGATGCTGCCATTGAACCATTGAACCCTAGCTTTGTCTCAAACACAGTTTAAGATCGTGTTCAGCAGCTGCTTCTGTGTTCATGACCTCAGATCTTTTTTTGTCCAAATCAACAGGAACCCTTCACCACGTTCTTCCTCAACTTCCAAGGAGGGAAGTTTGACCATGCTGACCGCACCTTCTCCTCCGTGTCCCGAGCCTGGAGGAACTGTCAGAGAGACACATCAGACGTTAAGGTATCCTAGACAAGGCTGCAGGCAATTGTTTTTTTCTTTTCTTTTTTTAAAACTTCTTTTGGAGAATGCTAACTTGCCAAGAGAAGTTAGAACTTGTAAGAGATAAGGCTCTAATCCCTGCGAGAGGATAAATTCTTATCCTTCACCCAGAAAGACACAGAATAAAACAAGGTTTTTTAAAAGAGTAATGTTCAATCACTACCAATCTTTGTACTACGCCAATGAAAGCTTCCTGCTCTTCTGATCAAAGCGTTAAACTAATCCTCATCTGTCCCGGCCGTCTGTCTCGGAATAAGCCAGCTATAACCCCGGACTTGAATCCCTGCCCGTTGGGCCCCAAAAACCTTGATCTGTTGGCTCTGCCTTGTAACAGTGCAGGTCATTCCCATACTGAAGGCCCGTGGAGCCCCCAGCGCACACGTTAACTGCTCTCTTAAAACATTTACAGCTACAGTCAGACATTCCCCGTCAAAGCCCAGTTTTCCTTGGTCTCCTGGCACCGGGTCACTGGTTAGGTTGGTGGTGTTGGGAGGTTTTTTGACGCTCGGTTGCGTTTAGCACCCCCTCCACGTCCCGCCGATAAAACATATGGATTGTGTTACCGCGTCGCCGGCCAACGCTTGATTACGAAAGCCCAACAAGAGCCCTCGTTTGCTCTGTGAGTCTGGACCTGTCAATGTGGATCAAACTGTGAGACCTCAACTCCAGATCAAAACAAAGGGGTAAATCTGGACCACATCACTTTGTTTTCACATTCACTTTGAATTGTTCACATATCTCAAATAAAAAACTCTGCTGACTTTATCCACTTGGATGCACACATTCATGGTCTGGCAAAAGAGGAATTAGAGACTGGATGTATCAATTTAGTATGCTAAATACTCCATTTAGCTTCAGCCACTGAGTCATTGATAGCAAAGCTCTCTCTGCCCCAGGGCTAAAAAGCTCCCAGTGTTTTCATAGGCTGCTGGTAAAGACGAGGTGATAATAGCTTACAACACCCAGATTCAATGTGTCTCTAGCCTGGGTGACGCTAGCATGACCTCCGTTCCCCAATCCTCTGACCCCCAGCCTCGGCCCAAAGACATTGGATGCGGAGAGAGGGAAGAACTTTTAAGTTAGCAACAGTGGAAATGTAGCCTGGGGAGTCCAGGGGCCAGAGCCCCTCTCCACTGACCCATGACATGACAGGATTGGGGATCAGAGGGTCTGGCCTCTGACCAGGCCAGAGCGTAGGGGCCACTGCACATAATAGCTCAGGCAAGGGAGGCTTGAGTTTGGGGAGCAAAATCCTCACTGTTTTGTTAGGCGCTGTGTGTGTGTGTGTGCAGCAGCCAGTTTAGCTGGAGGCCTCATTAAGAGATTGACCAGCCAGTGTAGCTGGAGGCCTCATTAAGAGATTGACCTTTTGTGTGAGGTCAGGTTTGTGTAGTGAAAAGATTTCAGAAGTGGGGAAGTGCTTTGTTGTTCTAGACTTATGTGTTTGCTTGCTCATTTGATTGGATGTTTTCGCCCCATTGATGAGAGCTGGTTGTAATCTGATAAAACACAATGGTAATTAGTGCGGCTGTGGATCAGCGGGTAGAGAGGTTTGTTTCCACTGGAGGGTCATGGGTTCCATTTCTGACTTTCAGATTCAATGGTTTCCATGATGTCGCGTTTGTTAGCAAACAGATTGATAATGTTCAGCAGACAATAGTATATATAGTCTAGACTGTAGGGTGTCCAACATACGGCTTACGGGCCAAAACCGGCCCACTAGGGGGTTCAATCCGGCCCACATGATGAATTTTGAAAGTGACAAAAACTGACAAAATGCCAGTCATGTTTCCTTCTTAGAATTGTTTTTTATAGTATTTTCTATACTCTATTAATACTTTTTATGTACCAGTAAATTCACATACTAGTATTTCCACTATATGAATGTCCGTACTTTGTCCGTGCAGGAGCTGATCCCAGAGTTCTACTACCTTCCTGAGATGTTTGTCAACGCCAACAGTTACAACCTGGGAGTGATGGAAGATGGAACCATGGTTTCTAACGTGGAGCTGCCGCCCTGGGCCAAGAGCCCAGAGGAGTTTGTCAGGATCAATAGCCTGGTAAGATAAATATCCAGAATGAAATATGACGAAAAAGAGCGAAACTCCTGCCGTTAACACCAAGAACCTCTGCCTTTGTGTTGAGGAATAGAAGGAGTGTTGCTCCGTCAAAGCAACGTTATATAAGTCTATGTCTGAGTTTTGACTTCTGTGGTCTTCATCCTCTGAAGTCCTGGCAGAAAGTCTGTCTCTGTTCATATAATCTCAGTTGATGATGTTAATCCAGAGAGACGGTGTTATTTCCTGACCGTCCTCTTGTTTCTTACTGTTACCTGAGACGTTTGCTCCGTCCACATGCCTCAGCTCTCAGATTGCCCTTCTTGGCTAAGTGATCCAACATCTTCTCTCTTCACCATGCCTTCATCTCTGCTGCTGCTCTGTCCACATTGATCAAAAACATGTCCCTGTACTGTATATGATCGCAAACACTCAATGCGGTATCCAGTTTCTACCGATCAAAGCGTGAATATCCTGTGCACATGTATGTCAAATGGCATCATATAAGCTGTTTTGTTTTCACTCTAGATTTTCTTTACTCTATATTACACATGCACAACACAGACCTTTTTTAATCAGAATATATTCCTCTGTTTTAATTGAGGGAAAAAAACTAACAGGAAAATTAAAAGGATATAAACATCTACCATCATCACTAAAATAATATTCCAAGTATTTTTTTTTATTTAACCTCCACCCACACATCACACACTCCAACCCCACATTGATATGTGTTTGTGGAGTAATATAAGGTAATGGGTGCTGATGAGGCTGCCTGTGCTCTGTGACCTGTGTAGTTTGTGGTGGGCTCTGTTAACCAGCCTGCTGATATGACCAGGACCTTGTCATTAATCACTCACCTCACTGCTGCCTCCGTTAGCCTGTCAGCACTGCCCAGACCAAGGTGCATTCATTTGGGAGATTTCTCTCTTATTTTTTTTATTATGATGTAGCACATTCTGCTAAATAGACAGAAACAGCTAATTGCCTATTTGGAATGATTAATTGACAATGCCAATAGTTGTTAGTTAGTTTCTCTACTAACAACGTGGACTGTTTGGATTGGACTGACTCAATATTACTGCACATATTCAGATTCAGAATAAAAATAGCAGGATATAAAATGATATTCAATATAAATGATTGAATCAAAAATAAAACTCAAGATAAATGGAAATAAAGGATTGCAGCAGTGGTTATGACAGTAAACAATTATACAATACAATTATTACAAAATTTAAAAAATCCATTACACATGTATTCATATATCCATATATGTACAGTAAGAACGTATTTAAAATACAGTATGCAGCTGCTACACTGAGGAAAATTGCACTAAAAACATCACCATGAAATGGTCAGTCCTACGAGGAATACATGGTCTTACCGTCTCCATTGTTCTTTACTTATGAATGGCACTTTACACATTTAGCTTGGACAGATATCTGTCTGTTCTTTCTGCCTCTACTGTAGGCAGTTACAGATATTGATCTGCTGTACGAGCCAACAGGCTTCACATTAGGACCGTGGAGTGGGAGCCTGTTGATGATGGGAAGGTTTATTTCCTACCTGCATATTAAAATAATACTGGGTATCAGTTGGCTTTGGATATCTACACCGTTGTTGTAACTGAAGTAGAAAGTGACCAGTAATTATTCGTCTTATTTTTATCTGCAAATGACTTTGATTTATTTTTTTATTTTTGGTTTACCTGCATCTAATAATGGATTCTGTTGTTTCACTCATACATATGAAGAGAATCTTTTGGATTGGGTTATAGTGTAAACGGCCATGGAATAAAAATGAAAATAGATTTTAGATGCAGCACCGTCTTTGGAGCGGCTCAGTCTCACAGAACTACAGATCATACGCAGACAATAGTGAGAGACAGACCAAAAAAAAGGAGGACAGGAGATGGACTGAGGACGAGGTGGAGGGAGGGACGAGTGGGTGGACAGATCTGCGGTCATGACAGATAGCTGGCATTAGAGGGTGTCAGCTGGCGACTGTGGTACTGTAGGGAGAGAGAGAGAGAGAGAGAGAGAGAGGGAAGAGTGGAGGAGTTAATGGGCTGTTTGGCTCTCTTTAGCTTGTCTACGGCTAATGGGCTCACAACACAAGGATAGACAGCAGGAGAGAACACGCAAACACACACATGGATGCACACACATGCTTCAGACACATACACGCCGGCTGTCTCCATTCTGGTTATGAGCCCTAGATGATTAACAGCTAATTAGGCCTCAATCTGGAAAGGCCATTAAAAGGCGTTCATGCTAAAGGATGACGCTTCTGTTGGAAAAGGCAGCTAGATTTTTCTGTCTTGCGTCGGTCGGTAGCCGGGTTTGTGTTTCCGTCCGGTACAGACTCAGCCGTACACACTTCTTCCGCCGAGGTGTCTACGGTGTACTTCAATGCTTGCATGTGAGGACACACTCTCTCCTCGGTCCGTCACACCCTCCCCGCCCCCCCGCCCCAAACACACATAAACACTGACACAGTGGAGTCTTGAGGCAGCATGCCACAGAGATCAGGGCCTGCATGTTGTTTTTACCAGAGGGTCGAAGGAGAGGTTAAGAACTTGATCCCTCCTCCACCAGATAACTACATGTCTCTGGGCACTGTCAGCCGCTCTGACATTCCACTATATATATGACCACAAGTCACGTCTGCGCTCTGCTAACCATTTGCACATAGCAGGTGTGTGTGTGAGTGTGTGAGTGCATGTAGGTTTAGTCTCGCATGTTGTGTGTGCACATCAGTGTTTACCCATGCTGTCATGAAGCCCAGGCTTCAGTGAAGGAACTGCTCTGCTGCAGCCTGTACTACAGTCTGCAGCAGTCACCACAGTTCCTGGTAGTACGCCCAGCACAGCACTGCAACTCTGAAGGGTTTGTTAAAACAAAATGTAAATGTATAGTGAGATATGGTATGATCTAGAATCACGTTTTCGTCCTAATCACATTAACGTGCAATTCTTTGATTCTTGACTCTCCCTTCGGTTTCTCTCAGTCATCTGGTCGCTTGTATTCCTTCTAAACACACACACGGGACGGTCGAGCGACGTGTTACACTGCATCTTTCCCCCCTATAAAACAGCCACTCACTCACAGCTGTGACAAAGACATCAGTTCAAATGCCTTCACAGCTGCTGAAAGGGACTTTTTTCCCACATTGGACAGAGACAACTGAGTGACGGGCCACAGAACTAAAAAGGTTTTAAAAAAATCATTGGTTAGTGTTTAAAACTTAATCATCAGCAGTATCTTTTATTAGCAGTTGGATTTTTTTTGTCAATACTACAATTTTAAAAAGCAGTTTTTTTAGTTGTAAATCAAACATCAAGTTTAGTCAGTTGTCTAACTGTTTTAATCCTTTGTTTGACCAGGAGTTTCTTCTTGAAAATTGCAGACTCAGACTTTTGGTTGGAGATGTTGTCGTTGAGTGTCATTTTATGTGGATGATGTCACTATGTTAATGCATTTACCTGTAAATATATTAGATTCAGTTCAACTCCTTCAGTGTAGAAATATTGAAAATGGCGCAGTCTTAAAATCAGAGAGTAAATCACCCTGAAAACCAACATGGTCATCTGTTTTATTCATGGCGGTCTTTAACACCTACGAGGCTGTTCAGTGCTAACAGACAACTGTCCTATTAATATGAGTGGAAACACCTTTTCCTCCAGACTCTGTGTAATGAAACTATCACATCCTTCTAAATGTCTTTGCCTGAACTTTGTCACTTTAATTTGTTGACAGCCCAGAGACCGTATCACCACAGCAGACGTGATGATAGTCTGAGGGAAAGGAGATGTCCTCCGCGTTACACGAGTATTTGTAGGTGATATTGTCCCATAGTTCATAGTTGATAGTCCTGAGGCAGAGCCTGGTACTGAAGATAAATACCGGACCTACATTTTTTTTTATCCCACTAGACAAAGTCTCAGACATGATAGCTCCCCGGCTCGGACCTCCAGCTACACTAAGTCAAAGATCATCGCTGTTTACTTTCACCTCTCATCCACATTGCACTTTAAGAGCAGACGCCCGTGGGACGCCCACAATACTGTTCCCACCGACCTCTGTGTCTGATTCTCACAGAAGCCCCGTAGGAATTCATGTGTGAGCTGAGGTAAACCACTGCAGCGAGCGCTCACTGACCACCGAGATACATTTACCCACTTGCGAATGAGTGAGTGAAATCCCTCATGTCGTCTGCTCGGATTTGTGTAACAGAACACAGTTTGCCCCGTTAGCGTTAGTGCTAATCCACAGCCTCAGTGTCTCCGCCGAGACCCTTGTTGTTGAATGGGAACTTGCACGTGGTGATGGTGATGGGGACGGGAGGCGGAGGGGGGTGGGGGTTGTTGTCTGGTCAATGTCAGGCAGCGCTCACTGTAGGAGTATTGTCATGTGTAAGGGCAGACATGTTTACTGTGTGCACGGTGTTTTACGAGCTGCTCCCCCTCTGTCTCCTCTTCCTCCTCTCTCTTCCCTGTCCTTCCCCTTGTCTTCATCCTCCTCCTCCTCCTCGTCAATGACGTAATGAAGGAGAGCACGGAGAGCCTGAGAAATGGGATGATCTACTGCAGCTGACATGCTCACTCACTAATGTTGTCCTTCTCCCTCTGCCTGCACTCCTCCATGCGTCCATTTCGGTCCAGACCTCATGTTAAGACCCATCCTGAATATTCACACAGAAAGTACAGCTCCACTTTCAGTGCAGTGATTCTCAACCATGGGACTGTGGCCCCTGGTTGGACCGCAGTTGCAATACCAGAAGGGAATCAAACAATAGGTGAGGGACGGCATTGGTAAAAATTACTGTTTAAGACACTCAGTCCCACTGTAATGTGTCCAATAAGCAAAAGAAAACCTGTAGCCAGAGTTACGGAGTATCATTCAAAAATTTACTTTCCGAATATGAATTATACGATTTTCTTTTAGACCTAAAATGAACATTCTTTTTTCTTTTTTTCCTCTGAAACACATAAACAAACA